TCTCCAAATCCTCGGCAAAGTCGAAGTCTGAGTTTACCGGTATATTATGAAAGGCCACGTCTTGGTCGTCCCCCAAAACGACGTGAAGCAGGAGAGTCATCTTCTAGAGGAGGAAAGGTAGCCATTTTTCTCGGCCATGCATGCATGCATGAATATGTTGTTTAATTTGGCTTCTTTTTCTTTTTCTTTTCGTTTTCCTATTTTGAAGTTTTGTCTGAACCCATGATGAGATTATAAGGTTTTTCTGCTTTGGTTTGCTATGAATGGTTGCAGAAGGGATCTTCCGGAACAGGAAAAGCTGGAAATGTGAATGCAAACCCCATAAACTCTTCCTTAGCTCTGAGGTTGTCCTGCACAGCTTTAAACCCCACTTCTTAATTAGCTTCTATTTCTGCTTTTTACTCTGACAAGTTGGATGCAGAAAAAATTGAAAACTTTCATGGTTTTGAATTTTCAGGGATTCTCTATCTGTCTATGACCCGACATATGAGAAGAATGGTGTTCCCATTGACCCCCATTTCAGATTATTCAAAGCCCGTCCAACCAGTAAGTGTAATTCTCCAAACTATTTTTTTTTTTTTGTAAGTTTTTTAATTTTTCTAAACAAAAAAGAAAAAAAGAAATACCAGTTGTTTATATGCAGAAATTCAATATTATACTACAAGTAAACTGTCTTTTATTCAGCAATATTCTTTTTAGTTACTATAAGATTACATCAATATAGAAAATTTAGATTACAAGCCAGCATTAAATTTTGAGTTAGAAAAGCTTTGGAATTAATGACGAATGGTGATTTTCTTCATGCAGAGAAATAGTGTGCCCAGCCTGCTTCAAGGAAGCGTTAAGTGCCTGGAAATCTAAAGAACTGTTGAATTGAAAGATGCCAACTCGTATCTTTAGAAAGTCATTATTGTTCAGACATTTCACAAAAAATGGTATACAAGACTTTAGTTTAACGCAATATTATTTGCACTTGTGAAACTTGATATAACTTAAAAAATGGGAAAAGTTTGATGTCCAAATAATATTACTGTTAGATTTTTCTTTCTGTAGTTAAAAGCCTAAAAGTAAGAAATAGACAGTTTGCGTTTATCTTCCGATTAAATGACAACTATTGCTCATGTTCTTTCTCCATATTATATATGATCCATTTCCTCAGTTGGGCGGTTAACTACCAAAAATTGTTACGTTAAAAGCCCAAAATAAGGCAAGGAGACGATTCCAATTGTTACGAGTCTCGTATTGGTTGCCTATACAATTAATATGAGATTTATAAGGTCTTAGACACTTCCACCACCCGTTGAGCTAGCTTTTGAGATGATGATTTCAAAATCCGTAACAATTGGTACTTTTATTTAGAGTTTAGGCACAAAAATGATTACTTATAGCTACTTATAGGCTAAATTAAGGTGTCATATATTCCAAAGAGATGCCATATTGAATACTGATAGATGAATGAAGCCGTGAAAAAGGAATGTTGATAGAGCAACGATGACAATGTTACCAATCTCACATTGATTGCCTATACAACTAATCTTAATTTTACAAGACCTTGAACATTTTCACTCTTTAAACTAACTTTTGGAGTGCTGACTTCAACGTCCATAACACCAATCATCTAGTTAGATGAGAAAATCTTAGTGCACACAATGCCTACTCTAGAAAAATATCTTTATGGATGTCAACTGCTAAATGGGGTTGGAAAAAAGAAAGCCCATTAGCTCATTGCGGAGCAAACTTTAGCGAAACTGGATTTTTCTTTTCTGCCTCAACTCATCAAAGGTTTATTTAGGGGACTAGGACCAACTAGCGTGACTATGTTGTTTTCTTGTCCATTTTTGCGAGGCAGTGCTGTATTGTCTTGTGTTATTGTTAGAAAGATATAAAATAATTAATTTAATCTCACTCAATGCCTTAATGTTTTGGGTTAAAATGATGTTTATCATGGTATCAAAGTTTCAGTGACCACGAGGTTACGAGTTCGATCCTCACTCACTTTCAGGTGAAATTAAGAAAAGCAAATGGGTTTATGCAGCACAAGACAAACCAATAATGAACTTATGTCATATCCACACTTCAAATCTTACGTGAGGGAGTGTATTAAAAAAATATAAAATAATTAATTTAACCTCACCCAATATCTTAAGATTTTGAATTGAAGTCACGTTTACGTTTGGTTTTGGGTAAAAAGGCCTGATCTTTCAGTTCTTTTGATCCAAAAGAAAATGGCTAGTTGTTGGAAGTTGGAATAATAGAATCTCGGTGTGTGCTGTTGCTGGTTCTCATCATTCATCTCTGGTGAAAGTAGCGGCTACTTTTACACTTAATTACCATCATTGATGAATGATGAACGAATATCACATTATTTGGTTCTCCCATGGTTGGCACAGACATCATAAGAAAATAAGAATTACATGTAATTAGCTTAAGAAGTTTGCAGATCTATGTAGCACCGCGGTACGATATTTTAATATGTCAATTTTAAAAAAATATGAATTTTAATATGTTACAGAGATACGTTTCTTTAATATTAGTGTCAAAATTAAAATTTGATACCTCATCTGAAAGTTATTAGATCAAAAAATATCGACTCTGAATTTTAAGCATGTAACACAATTAATCTTTTTGTATCTAATAGCTCATCTAACAGCTCTCAAGTGTCAAAGGATCCTATTCCTATGTTAGAATAGGTTTTAATATTAAATAATATTTTTAATTTATATAATATTTAATAATTTTAAAAAAGTAAAACTAAACTGATGACATATTAGTACCTATCATTTTTCTAAAAAAAATTACAAAATAAAAAAAATCAGAATAATAAACTTGTAGGCAAGAACTGGAAATCGGGAGAAACATATAATGGGTCCCTACAGAACTACAATCAAGTGTGACTCTTAAAATTCGGAAAGATTTATATAAAAAAGATAATAGTGATCAACGTATAATCTAAATTAGGTTTTGCTAGAGCTGAAACAATTATTTGATTTATTTCAATCCATATCACACCGATCTAAACCATATGCTGATGGACGGAAAAGAACGAAAAAATAAAATCAGGTGGGCCGGCCAAGGAGAAAATTTTGCCAAAATATCACGCGGTATAATTCGCTACACAGTGTAGCGAATTATGCATGCAAGTAATTCCCTACACAGTGTAGCAAAATATACTACGTCAGAATGCACAGAATCAAAAATGACACATGTCAAATTTTGAGAAATTCGCTACCCATTTTTGGTTCTGACATGGCCTATTTCGCTACACTGTGAATTACTTGCATGCATAATTCGCTACACTGTATAGCGAATTATGCCGCGTGACATTTTGGTAAGATTTATGCCGCGTGACATTTTGGTAAAATTTACTGTTGACTCGTCAGTCTCGTAATTTTTTTGTCTAAACGTGACAAAATGGTCACTGTTCCTGCGCAACACTTAGAAATGGACGCCAACGATCAGAAAGTTCAATATCAACATCACAGAGAAAGTTAGGAAAGCGCAAGATGGTTGAGCCATGACGCTTGTTCACATCGACAGAAAGGAATGGCTTCAAGGCAGTTGTGGAGAAGGAATTGTAGGTCGGAGTGGAGGAAGGTCAGAAGAACCAGAGAGCAGTGTAGAATGAGAGTGTAAGGTCTTCAACAATTGCCCAAAGCCGTGAATTCGTAGGAAGAAGAGACCCAATCTCAGCGTCATGGTGGAGGCAGCAGAGGCAAAGTAGAGAAAAATCGGTGGAAGGTGGAGTGGAGTTGGTCGAAGAGGGTTTCGCAGAGATCAGTGTGAGGGAGTTTGAGATTTCGATGTGGATAGGTTGCAGAGCAAGGCGTTGCAGAGCAATGTCGTTGCAGATGTGTTTCAGAGACTTAGGGTTCAGTACTTCTGTTATTAGAGGGAAGAAAAATGAAATGGGTTGTCGATTTGTGGATTTTGTTATTAGAGAGATGGAAAATGAAAAAAATAAATACTTATTTTAACTTTTTATTAAACGTTTTTTAATTTTTTTATAATTTATTTTTAATAACTTATTTTAATTTATTTAAAACTTCAATTTTATTAATTTATTTTGATTTTTTAAAAATTGTAAGTTTACTATAAAAATAATATTTGACTATGTCGGACATAGTTAAATTCATGTGTCGAAATGGTCTATTTATCTATAAGTTGATCATGTGTGGGATACTAACACTTTAGATTTTTTGAAATATCCATGTTATTATATAGTGTATAATACGTTAAATATATTAATAATATAGTTTGAATAATATGTTTTTATACTAGTCTAATAGATAAGAGCATTATTTTTATATTGTGTATAATACGTTGAATATATTAATAATATAATTTGAATAATATGTTTTTATATTAATCCAATAGATAAGAGCATTATTTTGGATCCAGATAAATTAGAGCTCAATATCCAATATTTTTTGGATCCATATAAATTTCCCATTGAACAGTGGCAGAACCCACCTATTTATTAAACTAGAGCCAACAAAAATTTAGATGGTATCAAATATTAAATTTTATCCACAAATTTATCGATAATTATTTAGCCACGTTTAATATGTGACTAATTTTTAAAAATCAACTGGGGTTAAGGCTTTAGCTAGACGTAATGTGGCTTCGCCTTTGCCATTAAGTATGATGGATATGAACATTAGAGTTGCTTCTCCTACGAATATAAGTTTAAATACGGGCATTATCTTTAGGGGCTGTTTGGTACGTGGATAATCTTAGGATTCTCAGGAAACTGATTTTTTTAAAATTTTAAATTTTCGGATATTATCGTAAACTAGATGTAAAAATCATATTTTTGAAAATCGAGATTCCCGAACAAATAAAAATTTTTCTTGTACCAAACGCCCCCTAAAGGTAAAAGTATTTTTGACTTTGCGTCAAAAAAAACTTTATCCGTCACATACATATTTTTACGACATCGAATCCTGATTTTATATAAAATAAAATAAAATAAAGATCTCTCAGTGAATCTGAAGCCTGAAAAATGGAACCCTTATCTTAAACCTAATAAGTATATAAATTCAAGTACTCTGGTGTTGTGCTGAAACTTTACTCATTACCACCTTTACAGAGTCCGTCTAAGGAGCCTTTCCGTACATGATATTTTCCGTACAGACACAATCCCAAATATCATTCTCATTTTACGTAAGACAATAGATACCCAACTTTACCGACTCAGATGTGCAATTACGCAGTAAATTTCAGAGATGGCCCTTGAAATCATCAATCATGGGTCAGCGAATTTAGAAGACAGACATGCATCTACGGCTTCCGCAACAGTAAGGAAAACCCATTCTTTTCCGATTTTATCCACGAAGTGAGCCACTTTAAGCTTGTGAATTACTAGCCACCTCGGGTTGACCAATGCCAACTGCCAAAACACATAACAATAGCAAAACCATTAGATTAAAGTTCTAGGTTTGAGCAAACTACATCAAACATTATTAAGAAATATTATCAACACACTCATATTCTCTTTTTAACACATTCTTTATTATTAGGTTAAATCTTATAATAGTTTTAATAAATAATCTATGCTCTTTTCTTTTTAGTAAAATGAATGTTGGATTGCACTTAATAATAATAATAATAATAGATCATTAGATCCCAAGATTCAGAATCATGAGAGTCTTACTTCTACTTCACACGAAAGCAACCTCTTGTGCAGTTCCTCCAGTGCTAGAATTCCGGAAGTATCAACATTCATCAGGTCTATCAAAGAATTGCAGAGGATCATTCACAAGGTTAGAATAAATTCAACGAATGTTTTGGCATTATAGAGTTATGAATTATGAGACTCACTTGTCATGTCCAAGATTACTGCTTGGACCCTTCCCTTGTCAGTTTCTTTAAGGCTATCTTCTTCTTCCGTGACCCACTTCACTATTCTGGAATAATTAAACTACTTTAATTTCAAAGAGTGTTCACTGAATATAATTAATCTCTCTAAACAAATTTGTGAATTGCTTGCCTTTCTCTAACAAAACTAGCATTAGCAAAGCAGAGTGAGCCAGAGCTTATGCGAATAACCAAGATTCCTGGAGTGCTTATGGCCATTGGATATTGACTAACATCGCAGAAAGCCTCTGTCCTTGGAACTCTACCTAGTACTTCTATTCCAGGTCGAATTGATTGCATTAGTATCTTTGCAAACGAGATTGACACCTTCACAAACAAACATCTCAATCTGAGATACAATTACTTGATTTTGTACTTGTTTATCTTTAATTTGATTTAATTATTGATGTAAAGTAAAATGGCCATGACTAAAAAAAGATTGTAATTGGAAGAGAAATGAGTGATGGAGAAGCTTCCGATGTGATAACTTAAAAGACACAACTCATTGTGGATACGAAGTTATTGAGTACGCACCGGAAGTGGATACTCTCGTGTGGAAAAGTGGTCATGTTATTTGATCACAACCACTCATTGATGATGAGATAAGAGAGAGAAAATTGTTTAAATGAGTGATTGTGATCAAATAACATGATAATATGATCACTTTTTCACACGAGAGAATCCACTCTCGTACGCAAGGCACGGATTATACACTGACCAATCAAAATTAGAAGTTGATTGGACATTTTTATATTTAAATCTCATACGTATAAAATGAAAATTGTTTTGCACTAAACTCGATGGCAAAAAGATGATTGTTAGAATGAAATTAATGCCAATATAAATTCTGAATTCAATTGTACAAGCTACGAATGTCAGGCCAAATTGGTGGACCAGAGTCTTAAGTCAAATTATGAGATGGATGGAACCCACGTTCCCCCTGTTCAATTTTGATGTCAGACATTCAAGTCTATTCTACACTAGTTGCCAACCAAATTCATTGTGTAAATTGAAACCAAGCTTGAGTCAAATTGGGTCCCTTCTCATGTGCAAATAATGTTAATGATTTGTACTTTAGTGCCTACTCATTGGATGTTATTTAGTGTGTAATAGATTAAAACGCTTGAAAGAGTGCAACAACTTACTGCAACAAGAAGACCAATCTCTACCGATGCAAACAAGACACCAAAGAAAGCACCAATGCAGGCAAGGAAGTCTAATTTGTCAACCTTCCAGATATAGCAAGCTTCACGTATGTCAATTAATCCAGGAAGTGCAGAGAGGATGATAGAAGCAAGTATGGCCATAGGAGTGTAGTATAAGAGCCTTGTGAACAATTCCAAACACAGAAGCACAGTAACGGCCATCACAATATTTGATACTGCTGTTTGACATCCTGCACTGAAATTCACTGCAGTCCTTGAGAAAGAACCTGCAAGTGTTAAGTTTTAAACTATTAAACAAATTTGATATATAAAAGTTATCACATTTGTTGCACAATTATTAAGAGAGAAAAAAAAGGGTCACCTGTTGCCACATAACATGAAGTGAAAGATCCTGCAATGTTCATACAGCCCATTGCTAACATTTCTTTGTTCCCATCAAGATGGTATCCCTTAATGGAAGCAAAAGATCGACCAACAGCTATTGCTTCCTGAATTGGAAGTTCATATTTGCATTAGGAAGACAAACTCAAGAGTTTGGGAAAAGAAATAACTATTTGGGAGGGGGAAAAGGGAAATTAATTAACACACAGTAAGAGCAATGATGGCCGAAATCAATCCAATTTTAGCTGCTTGTCCAACATGTTGACCATGGAATTGTAACTGGTGAGCCGAACTTGGATTCAGGCCTCCTTTGACATGCTTTATTATATTAACCCCATTCTTATCAGCTTTGGACAAATACACAATTAAAGTTGATAATATAACTGATAGAAGAGGAGCAACAGCAGGCAACCAGAAAAGTTTTTTGTTTTTTCTGCCCTGAAACGAGACATATATTATCAGAAGATCAAATCAAACACAGGTAATGTAGTAGTGGAATGTGGACACCAGAAATTTAATTACTTACAATAAATCGGGCAATTAAAAGGAAAATCAGGAATGAACACCCCATGACAAAATTCAGAGGGTACCACTGTCCATCGAACAAACAAAGAATAATGTCAAATATCATAAACAAAATACATATTAATCGTTCTTTATTATTTGTCATTTTTTTTAAACTATCATAAAGTTTCCTGAAACTATCTAAATTCTCCTAGAATATAAATCATTTAGCAAAACCTACTCACCTTTTCTGCAGATGTAATTTGATGATGGAGTGACTTATAAACAGATTCCAACACCGACACTGCATCAGTTTTGGTGGTAAAGTGAGTAAGCCCCAGCAACCCCTTGAGTTGCTGAAGACCAATAATGATGGCTGCACCTGCCATGAATCCTACAAGGGCAGCATGTGAAAGAAAATCCACAAGAAAACCCAACCTGCAGGTTTTGGACAATAAATTAAATTACTTTATAAGGAAACCTACACATTTACAAGAGATTTCACAAACCAGATGAGAAAACCACCTGAAAACTCCGAATGCAGTTTGAAAGATTCCAGCAAATAAGGTCACTGTAAAGACAACATTTCTGTAGGCATCAGGATTAGCAGCAGGATCTACCACTTTCTGGACAAGGGAGGATAGCAGCAATGACACTACAGCTACAGGTCCAATTGCAATTTCTCTTGAGCTCCCCATCAGAGCATAGATAAGAGGAGGAACAACACTGGTGTCTGAATATGCATTGAAGACCAAATTAAATTTTTTGAAAGAGGGGATTGATATTAAAAAAATGTCTATACTTTAAAAAAAATTATTGTTTTTTTTCTGTATTCTGCCAGTATTCAGAATGATGCATCAGTATAATACATAAATATAACTGAAGTCAGATACTTACACAATCCATATTGAGGATCAAGTCTTGCTAAATTAGCATATCCTATACTCTGCAACATCAGATACAAATTAGAAGAGTGAAGGGGGGGGAAATGAGGGGAGTGAAATGCTCCATTGCTTTGAAGATAGAAGTAATGTTTTTTGAGTACCTGAGGTATGCTGAGGCTGGCAAGAGTTAAACCTGCTAGCAAATCATCTTTGAACATGGAGGCTTTGTAATTTCTGAGCCAGCTAAGGATAGGGAATAAACTCCCCAAAAATGAAACAGCATTTCCATGGCAAGTTTTCTTCTTGGATGAAAAAAAGAACTTGGTGTCTTTCAGTGGACGAAATAGCCTCTTCCATAGAGGTGGTGGATTGGGAGAATTCAGCATCCACTGGGACCTCTCTGTTTGATCAGTATCCTCGATATGAAAGTGCCCCAGTTCTCTGACTCTCACACTGGAAGCATCAATGGACACTGAACTCATGGTTGTTCTCTTGCTGGAAGCTTAAGAGGACACTGAACTCATGGTTTTTTGAAGTGTTTGGGTGAACTCTGCAAGCAGTACTTAATGTACATTTATGTCACTTTAATAACACTTACAAGGACAGATTTTTGACATGGGTCAATTTGTTTGGAATCTGAATGATTGCTTGAAAGGGGCTGCAGCTAGCTTTCACATAATTCTCTGATGAGTGAAAGGATAGCTATGGCACCACTTCTATTGGCTAATCTTAGAAGTTTGAGTGTGTCTCGTAATCAGTATAAGTTCCCTTTTTTATGCCTGAGTAATTATTACTCTCTGTGCTACAAAATATTCGTTTTATTTACTTTAATGTTTTCATTTAGTGGAATGGAAAAAATTATTAAGATTTTTTCTACACTTATATTTACAAAAAAGAAAAGAGAAAAAAAGTATAAATGGATCTCACCACTTAATATGTGAGTATAGAAAAATGAGTTTATGAGAAAATAATTCCCCCATTATTAAAAGGGAAAAGTGTGTATAATTTTGAAGGATGTAAAGTTGTGTCATTCTAAGAGAGAGAAAGAGATAGATAAAGGAGGAGAGAGAGTTGACAAAAAAAAAATAAAGTTGTGGGTTTCACCTCTTTGTGAGAGTGAAAGGATGTAAGTTGTGTAATTTAAAAGTATAGACACTTTTCCCTTATTAAAATAAAAAAATTATTTAGTTTGAACATTTACTTTCTTGAAATTAAAGGTATTTAATAAATTTTATAATCCTTGTGGAAAAACCTTAAACTATGGATATTTTAAAATGGACGGAGTAATAATTAAGCTTATATTGGGTTTGAGTATCTGGCCAAATCCTGTTTCTCACGTCATTTTGCATTTAATGGAGGGAGAATATAGTCAATTACGCGGTTGCTCTGAAATGACTATGCTAATAATAGGACTGCAATATTTAAATAAAATTTTCACTTGGGTTTATTTAAGATAATCACATTAAGCTTATCATTATTATACAAATGCAATATTATTTAAGAACTAATAAAATGGATTTGAAAAAATGATTGATGCCGGGTCAACAAGGGATTCATATCACATATGCGTCCACATTCAAGCCATGACAACACGACACAGGAGATGATTGATCCAATGTCTGCTTGTTTCAATTCTTCAGTTTTGTACAAATGATCTTGCAAAAAACTATATGTGTCATCATTAGCTTTTTTTGGGTACATACGTATGTCACTAGTTTAATACTCTCTTTATAATACATTAATTCTTAAAATGCTGAAACTAACCAATAACCTTTTTTATTAATTAAATATTTTCAATAAATAGATGACTAATATTATTTTTAGATAATTAAAATAATTTTTCACTCTTAAAATTTTATAACATCATTTCTACGTTACTTAGGTTTTGAACTGCGACGTTCTCTTTGGTTTTACATTAATTGGGAACCAAACCTTGCTCATTTCGGAGCGTCCCTTTTTTATATAAATGAAAATTAAATACAAAATTTAATATAATTTATTTAAGGGATTTATAATTCTTCTATTGCAACAAACTTACAAATCTTCTGCTACTCACACAGTTCACAAGTATGGCCCACAAAGAATGGAAAGAGAAAGTTTAACACAGGTGAGAGCCATTACTTTTGTGTTTGCGGGAGAAATACTGGTCTGCTGGTGAGAGCCATTACTTTTGTGTTTGCGGAGAAATACTGGTCTGCCGTTACGTAAGATATATATTACCTTTTATTTAAAGAATTTTATAAGAGTTATGTTGTAGGAAAGATTATTGTGTTATGTTATAGAGATTCATTTTGCGTACCGTAGTTTTTTTTTTCAAAACATGCGGTTTCCACAAAATGTTGTGTGTGTAGAAAATTTTTTGTGGTCATGTTAAATAATAGATATAAACCCCTTATTTAAATTTCTCATCGCTCAATTAATTCTAGTGGCTTACAGGAGAAAGAAATTTCTTCTTTTATTGAGCTTTTTAGCTCTTGCTTTTATTGAGATAGTTAGTATTAGGTATTATATTCAATTGTCATCGATGTGTCACCAAAAAAAAAAAAAAAGTTGAAAATTAAAGAGGGAGGAAAAGTATAAAAATAGACCTTAAAATAAGAAATGCGAATTTTTTTTTTCTACTTTTGGACCCTTACCTCTGACAAAGCTGCCACAGCATGTGTTGCTTTGGTAATAAATGATTGAGTAAAGTATTTTTCGAGTTGAGATAAAGAGTGTTTTCATAATTTTAAGGGAATTAATAAACCGTATTTCAATAAAATTTATATGACAAAAAAATAAATAAAAATACGAAAACACTCTTCGTTAATTTAAAATGATATAATTTTAGGAACTATTAAATATAAATTATCTCCGATTATGCTAATATGTTGCATTAGCAATTAAATGATGGTGCTAAAAACTTATGCATTCATATTTGTTTATAATTTTCTTAATTACTTAAATTAGCAAGTATATTAAGAATGTTACTAAACAGTGTGCTAAAGATACTTGCTGGTTAAAAATTAATTTACTTTTTGTCGAATTTTTTTTTTTTTGGGTATCCTATTGTTGAATTATTTTAATTACTTAACGAAGAATGCTTTTATTTTTTATTTTTTAATGTATTAAAAAAAATTATTTTCTCTTTCTTAATTCCCTAACTACTATTTTAAGAAATTATGAAAAATAAAATTATGAGGTAAAACTTATATGAGTAATGCTATATATTTTTTTAATAAATTCACCTGCATACTCTTAATTGTTTAAAAAAAATAAGTGTAACATGTACAAGAAATTTAAATATATATTTAGTAATTTCTTGAAATAATGAAAAAGATAATCAAGAAATTCATTTATATAATATAAAATTATTAAATTTTATATTTACTCGTCAGTAGTCATCGTTGGATGAGGCATAATTAATGTTTTGGGTTCTGGTATAGTTACACAGGACTTTATTATACAAAATGGCTCAATCTTAATCTTATTGATTCTTTTTTCGCTTTTCTTCTCCCTAAATCACTTGCCTAACCTTAAGATTTTGTGTATTTGCAAGACCAAAAGTCTGTAGAATAAACATTTTTCTAATGTTTTAGGTGTTGATGATTCTATATTGGATTTATGCACAGGAATCAGACCATAAAAAGATCAGATATGATAACTTCACCGATAAAAGTATTTCACAAACTCAAAGAAATATTTTTTCACAAACTTAAAGAATTATTTCAACTCAAAATTTTAGATATTAGGTGAATGCTTTTTAATGATCTATATTATTCTTTAACATATTCTCTAAGGCAATAATCCTTTGAACTTGAAGCATGGATATTACACACAGATCCAATTTTTTGATTTTATGTTGTGCTTATTTAATTTCACTAGAAAGTGAGGTGGTAAAGATCGAACTCGTGACTTTATGGTTATCGGAGTTCTAATACCATATAAAGAATCATTTCTATCCAAAACTTTAAAATGTCAAATAATTTTTTTTAATAATTTATATTATTTTCTCACGAGAGTTCCACGTAAGAGTTTGAGTTTGTGAGACACTTTAAAAAAAAAAGATTTCTCAATTTGAAACCTGCACAAATAAGTAAAGCAGCTATAAGATTCGAGCCTATTGATTTTGTTGAAATACAATATTTGAATTTCAAATTATATATTGTTAGGCTGTTTTAGTTTGTTAGGCTGTTGTTCAATGATTGATTGTACAAAGATTAGATTAGATAAATTAATTTCCTACTTATTAGCAATTAGTTGAACTAACTTAATGTATAAAAAGAACCCTAAGGTGTATCAGAACCTAGGTTCTAAATAAATTTTTTGAGAAAAGTCTCAAAATAAATAAATTTCCTTTTCGATTTTTTGCTTCCCACCATCAAGCCTATTATTGTTCATCCAACCAAATTTTTTTTTCTCTTCTTCTTCTTTCGTTTCTTCTCTCATAGAAACCGCAACCCCACATTCGAACCCCTCCTCCCCTGAAACCAACCCTAACTCCAACAACACAGAACCCATCATCATTCATCAAGATTCATCGTCCTTCCCTGTTTCCATCATCCTCGATGAATCCAATTACCCCATATGGTCCTAACTGATGAACATGTGGATCGGAGCCCGTAACAAAACCGGTTACCTCACCGGAACGAAATCGAAACCGCCTCCCACTGATCTCACCTTCGATACTTGGGTCACAGAGAACAAGAAGGTTACGAGTTGGCTTATTGATTCTATGAGTCCTTCTCTCTCATGCCTTGGTTCCTTCGATTGGATGTTGCATCAAAGATATGGGAGGCTTGCAAACGCACATACTATGACGGTTCTGACAAAACGGTGCTCTTCGAATTGAATCAGAAATCGTTCGGCATGAAGCAACAAAGGCGTCTGCTAGCAACATACTACAATGATCTCCTTGCAATTTTTCAAGAAATCGATCACCAAACGGCGCCATGGTTCGCCTCAGAGTCCACATCTTTCTCAGTGGATTGGACTCTGAATTTGACAACCTTCGAGGAGAAATCCCTTACAAGGAACCGAAGCTTGATTTGGAAGGCTCTTATGCATTTGTTCGCCGCGAAATCAATCAACGCAACACCTTGGATTCTGCTCGACCCTCTCCGGAATCCACCGCATTGCTGACTCTTCCTTCTGGCCCTTCGAAGTCTCGTAAGTCCTCTTCCTCTGGAAAAATGATTCAATTTCCTTGCACTCACTGTGGGGCTACTGGTCACTCCAAGCAAAGTTGCTATGATATTGTTGGTTATCCCGAATGGTGGGATTTCAATAAACAACCGCGCCGGAAGGTTCCTACCTCTGCCAACGCTACTGCTGTTGCTACGGTTGCAATACCTGCTTCACCCGCTGCCCACGTTGCTCATCAGGGTAACATTGGTAACACTCTTGCTTTATCTACATTTACTAGAAATCATACTTGGGTAATTGACACTGGTGCATCAGATCATATGATTAGAGATTCCTCTGAATTACATAATTGTGAACCTTGCATTTCGCCTTTTATCTCCACAGCAAATGGAGAGACTTC